CTACTTTCACTGTTTCATTTTAATACCTTCTGCTATTTCCAACCAATGCAATAAAACACAAAGCCAAAATACAAGCAGTGACAATTTGATAGAAAGACATAAAAATAAAAATAAAGTTATTTGTGGCCAAAGTGATTAAGTATCTTCATTCAAGAAAATCAACTGAAAAAACTCCCAGAACTGATAGGAAAATTAAAATAATACAGAAGTTAATCACACTGGTTTCAATCACTGCTTCATCACTGAGGAGATGAATCACCTTAGGAAATCACCTTCCAACCCTCAATATTCTCATCCACAAAGCAGGAACAATGATAATACTAATCTCACTGGTTTGCTATGAAGACTAAATGAAATTTTTAAAGCACTTAAAGATATGGCACATGGCAAACATTTAACAAATATCAGCAATAATGATAAAAATTTCATTAATGTTATTTCTTAATAGTGGCAGAATAGAAAACAAATAAATATCAATGAAAAGCTTTGCTAAATACTACCAATAATCATTGGGGAGACACAATGGGGAAAATATCCTCTTCACCATAACAACAAAAAAGGTAAAACAGTTGGTCTGATAGGACATTTTGCCTGATGTGGGAAGCAGAAAGAACAATCGAAACAAACTCCGGCACGCTCCATCCCACTCCCCATTTCCACCAGTCTCTGTGGAAACCTACTGCTATGTATAGCCGCTTTGGCTTCCGACCTGCAGGAGGAGGTTGAGGTGAAAAGCAGACTGGAGAATGGATGGGTGGTCTCTCTATCAAGTCCTATGAACTGATGTGAGCAATTAAGTAGTAGGACATGGAGATGAACTGCTTCCAGGTCACCTCTCACCTTTGGAACACCCAGAATGTCTTCACGTACTCTGTGCTTTGGAGTTAAAACCATTAATCTGGCTCTGATATCTGGAAATGTTAAATGAACTTCTGGTCCCTAAATAGACCCCGCAAGGGGTCACAGCACTTCGGCCAAACAGGCCTAGGTGGAGGTTGTCTGGGACTTTCCCACCAGAGGGGGCCACCAGAAAGCAACCTACAGTAATGTACAACATGGTGACTCAAGTTAACAATACTCTATCATATATCTGAAAGTTGCTAAAAAAAAGAGAACATTTTAAAAGGTCTCACCGCACACACAAAAATTTGTGACTATGTGAGGTGATGATTGTGTTAACTAACCTTACTGTGGTAATCATTTTGCAGTATATACATATATTAAATCATTACATTGTACCCCTTAAACTTATGTTAATTACATTTCAATGGAAAAAAATTTAAATGCAATCAACCTACAGAAATTATCTGTAAATCTTTTTCTGCTACATATAATAATTAAATCAGTATGATTAGATCAGTATAATAGGTATATAAGAGAATAGCTCAGAAATATGCCCTATTACACATCTTTAAGTGAACATACTATGAATGAAGCACTACAAATCATGGTGAAAAGATATATTATCAAATAAATGTGAGAAAAATTGGTTAACTACTTAGAAATTTTCTTTGTAGTTGTATTTTTTAATTGTTCTCAACTAGTAGGCATCAAAATGTCCTTTTTCTGTTTAATATTAAAATATCCAAAATTTATGAAGTGCTAAAATTTTTGAAGTCAAACCACAAAAAAGTCTAGAAATACAGGCATTTAAAATATTTAAGAGCCTTCTAAATTTAAAAGCAGGATTCACAAAGAAAAGGGTATTTAGACTTGAAAAGAAAGCTTTTTAAAATAATGGATGGCAATTTCCTAAACCTGACAAAAAATACCATTTTAGATATCAGAGAGCTCAGTACACACACACACACACACACACACACTCATATCAGGCAAAGATTTCTTAAACAGGATACAGAAAGCACTAACCATAAAGGGAAAAAAAATTGTACTACATTAAAATCAAGAATGTCCATCAAAAGACTCTATTTACAGATAGGGAAGGTAAAAGCCAAAGACTAGGAGAAGATATTTGCAGTATGTTTAGCTAACAAAGATTCATATTCTCATACTTAGGATACTTAGAGAACACTTACAAATTGGTAAGAAAAAAGGCAGACAACCCAATAGAAAGATGGCGAAAGACCTGAACAGGCACTTCACCCAACAGGATGTCCACACAGCCGATAAACATACAAAAAGATGAACAACTTCACTGCTTACCAGAAAAATGCAAATTAACACAGAAATGTGATCCTACTACATAACCACCAGATTGCCTAAAATGAAAACAAAGGGCAATTTCAAGTGGTTAGTAAGGATATAGAACAATTGGAACTCTCATACCCTGGTGGCAGTATAAGTTGCTACAATAATTTTGTAAAATAGTTTGTCAGTATCTAATAAAGCTGAACATATGCATACCCTATAACCCCAAACTTCCACTCCCGGGCTATTGTACATCTCCATAATAATGGCCCCCAACAAATCATGCCTCCACATCCCTTTACAGTATAATGCTGCTGTTCCCTGCAAGAGATGGGGCTCTCCTATCCCGTGACTTGCTTTGACCAGTAGAATATGGCAGAACTGATTTTGTGTGAGTTCCACAGCATAGGCCTGAAGAGGCCTGGCAGCTTCTGCCTTTGCCCTCTTAGGATCCACCTGCCATGTAAAGAAGTCCAGGACATCCTGCTGGACAGAGAGGCTGCGTGAGGAGAACTGAGGTACCCAAGCTCAGACATGTGAGTAAAACCATTTGGATCTCCCAGCCCAGCCCAGCTACGCTGAGTGAGCCCAAATGACATGAAACAAAGACAAGCCGTCCCCACGGAGCCCTGTTCAAACACCTAAGCCACAGAATCACAAGCAAGAAAATGGCTGTTGCTTTTAAGCCACTAAACTTCGGGGTGGTTTGTTATGCAGCAACAGAGAACTGAAAATAAGTAGATGGCAAAAGAAAAGAATACTGTATTCACCAAAAAGGACATGCACAAGAATGTGTCCCGCAGTACCATTTAAATGACCAAACCTGAAAATGACCCAAATGTCCGTAACAACAGAATGGATAAATGTTGGTGTAGCTGTAAAACGGAAGATTCTCCAGCAATAAGAATGACCAAATCGCAACAGTATAGATGACTCTCACAAATATAATGTTGAGCATGAGAAATCAGACCCAAAACTGTATGCTCCCACAAACAAGAGAGAAGTTCCAAAACAAGGAGAACTAATCTAGGATACAGAAGTCACGTAAGGCATGACGGGGAGGGGTAATGACTTGATGGGGGCAGCACAGGGGCTCCTGTGACTCTGATAATGCTTTAATTTCTTGTTCTGGGTACAGATTACAAGAGTGTGTTTATTTTGAGAAAATATATTGAGTCATATGCTTATGATGTGCATACTTTTCTGTAATATATATTTCAAGAAAAGTTTACCTAAGATTAAACCACTGTCCCATTCCTTGATAAAAAAAAGTTAGTATGTTTAAATCACCTGTGGAATTTTTTTTTAATGCAGATTTTTTAAAAATATAGAGCCTGAGTACATATCTGTGGACTGGAACCCAGCCATTTGTGGTTATGAATCTCCATAAGTGGTTCTGATGCATAGCCCAGATTGAAATATTAGGTCATAAGCAGAAAGAGTGCTTTTTCATTTCATCGTTATTATATTTCCTCAGAAATATTTTTGCCAAAGAACATGAAGCACAAACAACTGTCTTCAAATTGCAATTATCTAAAAGAAAGAAAATGGCAAAATACCCACTTCCACCCACTCCCCACTCCTCAGGATTGCCTGCCACCATTCAGAAAGCTTCTACAGATCATTAAATGTTTTAATTAGTTTCACACATATGTACTTAGTTCAAAGCATGCCATTAAAACACCATCCTCTTGCTACTTTGAAGTGTGCTTACTAGATTATTTAAAAGATGCTCTTAGAAGCCATACACATTTTTAATTAGAGCAAAAAAAGGTTAACCCAAATTCAAGAAAAATGAGTTTTCAAGTCTAGCATCTACCTTGAAAATAACAGACACACTTTAATTTGCAAGAGAAATATATGCCTTTTGAGTAACTATAATTTTTAATCATTTTTGGTTTTTATGTTTTTTTATTTAAGTATAGTTGATATACAATACTATATTGGCATCAGGTGTACATAGTGATTGACAATTATATACATTATCAAATGCTCATCATGATAACTATAGTTACCATCTGTCACCATACAAAGTTGTTACAGTATTACTGACTATATTCCCTATGCTGCACTTTTCATCCCCGTGACTTATTTATTTCATAATTGGAAGTTTGTCCTTCTTGATCCCCTTCACCTAATTTGCCTGTCCTCCCACCCTCCTCCCCTATGGCAACCACTGTTTGTTCTCTACATTTATGAGTCTATTTCTGTTTCGTTTATTTGTCCATTTTGTTTGTTTGACTTTTGTAGATTTACATGTAATTTCATGTAAATGAAATCATGTGGTATTTGTTAAAATCATTTTTGAACCACACCTACATTGCCTAACTCTGAAATGATTTCTTTAGTCATTTTAGAATGACTAAATAAATGATAGGTAGATAAATGGACAGACAGACAGATATATAGATAGCTATGCAGAAAACAGAGATATAATGAGGCCAACTGTGTTTAAATCTCCATTTCCCTCAAGATCTGTTTCATGAAATACTCAAGGTATTTTGATCTCTCAGTACAAAAGTTTTCTGGATAAAAAATAAGGTCTTCTTTACTAAGTTACTACTGTACATCAAAAGACTGGTTCAGAGAGGGCATTCAACAAATTAATGTTGAATCAATCTAATTCAGTTTTTTGAAACTGAAAAAAAAATTCAATGGCTATTTAGTCAACAACAATCAGAGAGGTAAAAAACCAGTTGAGCTGATTTTACCATTTGATTGGTGTCACACAGGCAAGACCAGTGGGCATCCTTTTAATTTCTTAGTGTTCTCCCATCTTCTGAGTGCACATCCCTTAATGAGGACAATTCAATATTTAATGACTGCTTTTCAGAAGCCTAAACTTTTCTTACCTGAGTCTTTATCACATACTTGTGTGTAGTTTTCCAACATGAAGGAAAAAAAGTTGGATAGCTGGACAAAATAAAAATACATTAATCAATTCATGAACTGCAAACAGCTGCTGTGGGAAATGCTGTTGGTGTTCCATGCAAGTCTCCTTTACTCTTCCGGGGCACTCATCTCCCAGCTAGTGGATCCCACCTCTGTCTGCCCCGCCTCCTCCCAAGGACTGCCCTTGGCAGATGGGCAGCACCTCCCCCAGAGTTGCACAGAATATATATCCCCCCTCCTTGGGGGCTGCCCATAGAAAATAACTAAGTGAAGCAAGGATATTAAAATGGGATCAGGCTGAGGTCAGACTTCTCCAGAAACCCTATTTTTGCCGAGCTCTTTCCCCTGTTCTATCTTGCTTTCCTCATCCCCTTATAGGTTTTTCCTAAGAATGCGGTCTCAGGAGATCACTGGTACCAGAATCCCTGTCTCAGACTCTGCTTCTAGAAAACCAGCCTAAGACAGCTACTAGATTGTGCTCATTATGATCTCTTCTTTTCCTTTTGCTGGTGAGACTAAGAGTTAAGGAATACTCTTAAATGTCAAATACATTTGGAAAATGAAGGAAGGGAGCAAGGGACGGAGGAGGAGAAGATGGAAATCCACCAGCATTCCAAACATTGCCTAGACCTGCATTTATACAGCACAAATAACTTCTCTGAGCCCTACCTCCCATGAAGAATAAACACTAATCAATCTGGGAGTAGGTCTGGGAGTTCAGGGAAAGACGACTCCATACAAATATCAAAATGTATGATTTTAATGCTGTTGATGGGTTTGTCAGTTAAGAGATGCATTTTACCAAAAGAGACAATCTTGCAAAACAAACCTGCAATTGGCCTTGTTCATCAGCATATTCGATGGACTGGAAGATGGAGAGGGCATGGCATTGTCTGGCCTTCAACCGAACCCTATAACCTCGGTACCAGTTCTGGATTTTCAAAGCCGCCTGCATCACTGCAGACCCACGGGATATAAAAACCAGAGAAAAACAGTTACTATGCAGCTGTGGTGGGTAAGTGAGTGCTTCAGAAAAAAAATCAGCCCACTTGGATTACTTGGTTCTAAGAACATAAAAACTACCAACAATGAGACTTACCTTTACGTTTTTGCAAAATGTCCTCATGTTTCAGATACTCAGAGAAAAATGATGGCATAGCCATTAAGAGCAGAATTTTTGGAGCAAGACTGTCTGAATTTGAATCCCAACTCTGCCAATTACTGTTTGTGTGGTTCTGGGTTAAGTTATTAAAACTCTCAAAGACTCAGTTTCCTGATCTGCAAAACAGGAATAGTAGTGGCTACCTCTGGCACTTCTTAGGCATATGACGTCTATGATGCCATATGAAGTAGCAATTCCGTTCTTCACTAAGTACCCCAAAGCGACCCACAAAACCCTCAGCATCTCTTTGTGGCAATAGGGAGTTTGACACCAACACAGTCACGGTCCACTGGAAGCAATGGATTAAATAAAGCCATGGCAACATAGATGGATCTAAAAAGCACAGTGCTTCAATTAACACAGTATTAAAAAGTTAGAGACAGAATGAAATATAACATGATACCATTTTATATAAATTTAAAATATACATACAGAAAACTACAATACACATTGCATAAGAATATATACAAAGGAAAACGTACTAACCATAACAGATCAGTTATTTATGGGGGGGCAGTAAATGAGTAGGGTACATGGATAAAAGGCAACAAGCAAATTAAGAAAGAGCCTTGCACAGACCAGCGATGACCAACAATGTACAATGAATTGAGAAGGATAATTCACTCCACCTTCTGTACCAGAGATTCAATTGATAAAAAACAGATAGATCAATGAACACATCGCCCTCCTTCATACAGTTACTCTGAGGATGAAATGAGACACTCCAGGTGAAGAGAACAGCCCAATGCCTGGTGACAAGCACATGCTGAATGGATGGCAACTATAGTGAGAAATACCGTTGTTTACAGATTATTTAGGCACACCAACTTGCTTCTGGAGCAGGTAGCCTTTGAACCATCCTGTAGCTTCATAGTTTTAAAGAAAGCAATCAGGTGAGAGATAATGAGATTTAAAATACAGCCTCTTATGCCTTCCTCAAGTTTTAGAGTAAAGAGCAATCAACACCAGCCAGCTCCTTTTCTTCATACTATAATTTTCCCAGTTAGCACATAAAAATTAAGAGTTGACTATAGCAAGAACAATCTGAGTTCTGAAAGCAGAAATCCAGACTTCAGTCCTCGTACCCTCGGCCTCGTACTGCTATATACACTGAGTATATATTGGTCACCTGAGAGTTTCTCTGAGGCTCTTGGTTCCAGAGACTTTCATTTCATTATTCAGCTCTAGAAACCCCAGGAAATAGGCATAAGGTCAAGTTTCATGGTCTTTATAGGGACAAACCACAGGGAGAAGAAATTAGAGTGACTTGCTCAATATCCCAAAGCAAATGCCATAGCTGAAATCTCAAATGTTCTTACCATACCATTATGGAGAGCCCAGCCTCGCCAGAAAGTTCTGTTCTAGGGGACAGTTCACTGTTATGACCAACCAACCCTCACCTCAGGGGCTCTCTCATGAGATATTCAACACTTGTTATCATAAAATCAGTTTTGTGTTAGATGATTTTGCCCTTCTGTAGGCTAGTGTAAGTGTACTGAGCACGTTTAAGGTGGGCTGGGCTAAGCTGTGATGTTTGGTTGGTTATGCATATTAAATGCATTTTCAACTTACAATATTTTCAATTTACAATGGGCTTATCAGGACATAATCTATTGTTTAAGTCGAGGAAAATCTGCATAGTCACATGTTTATGTGTTTGTTGTCTATTTTCCCCTATTAGCTAAGCTACATGAGAAGAGGGACTTTATTTTGTTCATTGCTATATGCCCTGTACCTGGGGTAAGGCCTGGAAGTTGATATCTGTTGAATGAATGAATGAATGAATGAATAAATACCTTCTAGGGCTACAGAATAATACACAATAATATATTAGTAATGTACAGAGATAGGTATCAGTAATATAATAATTAATGCTTAATATAAAATGCTTCGCACATTGCCTGGCATATAGAATGCACTCAAATAAATGGTAGGTGCTTTTTTTAAAACTTAAGGTGGGAATAACAGGGAATAATTCTCTCTCTCCAGACTAACAACTTCTAATGCCTCCAAAGACTTCCTAATTATATATAATATTTCATTAAAATTTTCACAAACTACTGTGGACAAACAGGCTACCACCTCAGATCCCAAGAGCCAGGAGCGAGGAAAGCCGTGGGCACCAGGACCCACAGGGCTTGCTTGCTCCCTTAGAGTGCACACACTTGCCTCAAACACCGACTTCTCAGTGAGGCCTTTCCTGATCACCTTTTTAAAAATGGTACCCCTCCTCCCATTGACATCTCCCTCCTCATTTTCTTTCCACAGCACTTATCACCATCTGATACAGCATATGTTTTACTCATTTGTTATTGTCTGTCTCCTTCCACTAAAATGTAATCTCCAAAAGGGCAGGGATTTGGGTCTGTAGAGTTAGTTGCTGTATCCCCTGCGTCTGGAACAGTCCCTGGAACATAGTAGGTACTCAATAAATATTTGTTGAATGAATGAATGAGTGCTGCTTAGTTAAGACTTTCTGTCTTGTGTTTCTCTTCATGCTGACTGGTAGAGTTTTCTGTTTTTTTTTTTTAATGCAAGTTAATTTGACAGTTCTTTAAGAAACTCTCTGCTTTTGATATTCTGCTGGCAGAGGCCTCCTGAGAAGGCACCAGGACGAGTAAATATTTAACGTAACTTTCAGGGCCCTCACATCCTGTCGGGAAGAGAGAAAGGCGCAAGTATGATAGAACTGATTAAAAGGAATTCAAATGAACTGAAAAGAGAATGAACCATCTAGTGGTAAAAGGCTTTAAACAAGGAGGGAAAGCATCTATCACCTCAGCTGTTCAAAGCATAATGAGAACGGTACGGCTCCACTCTGGGACCACAGTTTTCATTGTTGCTATTGTTGTTTATACATATTCTAATATGCCATCTGCTAGAGTGTGTGGCTGTCCCAGTGAGACTCCCAACTTCACTGAAAAAAACAGCTCGAAGCACACGCCCAGAGGAAATGAGATGCTCACAAAGCCTGCTTCTGGGGCAGCAGGCAAGGCAAGGACCCTGCGAGGCTCACTCATCCACAAACTCAGGCATCCTGCAGGGCAAGGGCTCAACACAGCATCCTTGTTCCTGGAAAGCATTTTTCTTAAACAAGAGACAAGTGAGAATAAAGCATGAGGCCCAGTCTCCAAACAATGACAGACATTTTAAACAAAACTATCACTTTCCCCAAATGACAAAAGAGCTCATAGCCTTTTTTGTTCCTGGAAACCTCTGGCTTTCCAGTCAGAGATGATAGGCAAGAATTGGAGGTCATTTCTTTGACTTTTTATTTACTCACATACTGACCCACTCATCAACCTATCCATGTGTGATAATAAAAATAAGTTCTCAGTTTGTAATCTAGAGACTTCACTTTGGGTCCTGACTCAACCAGGTGCCCACTGTGTAACCTCAGACAAATCACCTAACCTCTTTGGTCCTCAATGTCTCATGAGAACAATGAGAATTTGATTTATGTATTACTAAGATCCTTTCCAGTTATAAAATACTCTATTCCGTCCCTGTATTTTTGTAATGCCACACCTGCAGTCTACCTATTATTGCACATAGCAAAGCTGAAAATGACCATTCAAGGACAAAATAGGATGTGTAAATGTGAACACTTAAATCAGAAGCTTGTGGACAAAGAAGACAAATTCTGAAGGCTACTTTAAAAAAACAAAACCTAAATTATCCCTGTAGAAAAATCAGTCAATTCACTAACATCCCTGGCTTTCCCATCAAGGAACTGTAGCCAAAGTTTGCTAGCAATTGGTCTAGGAACATTAAACATTTCACCTATTACTTTTCCTCCAAATTGCTTAAGGTAGGATCACTGGGTACAGTCTGTTAACTGGCTCAAGGGATCACCAATAAAAGATGGGAAAGATGGACGGGGAAGAAAGTGAAGACAAGAGGAGGCTGGGAGACAGCCACCTGAGAAGGGTCTAAGCCGAGAGGTTTCAATCACAATCAAGAGGTCAGAGAACGGGATAATAATCCTAATGACTACAGAAGTGGAGATGATCCAGGAGGCCACAGGCACCGGGGAGGGGAGTGAGCAGCTGAAGTAAGAGTGGAGGAAAGGCTGCTGCAGTTTAGGAGGTCAAGGAACTGAGACGCTAACATTCTTGGGTTCCCTGTGTGTACAGTGAAGATACCCAGGATAATGCCAGGACACGGCACACAGAGTCTGCAATGAACGAGGAAGTTGGTGGATGCAGACACAGGAAAGGGCTAACAAACAGCACCCCAAAGGGCATAAACCTAGGCTACAGCCAGCACAAGCTTAGCAAACATATCTCAAGTAGTACAGGATTCGGATAGCTTTAACTTTTTATTTTGAAACATTTTCAAACCTATCGGAAAATGGTAAGAATAGTCCAGTTGTTAATATTTTGTTACATATGCATTCTCTTGCTCGCACACTCTCTCCATATCCATATACACACATTATCATCATTTCTTCAGTCTCTTTTATGCTAGAACAAGTCCTTAGCCCTTTGTCTTGAATGACATTGAAGTTTTTAAAAGTGTACAGGCCAATTATTTAAATATCCTTCAGTTTGGATCTATTTCCTTGTGATTAGATGGAGGTTATATAGTTTGGTAGGAGTAAGTGATGGGTCTTTTTCAAGTGTGCTACAGCAGGAGGCACATGATGTTTATTTGTCTCATTATTGGTGATGTAAACTTAGATCACTTGGTTAAGGTGTTGTCCACCTAAAATTCTCTACTATAGAGGTATTTTCTTTCTCTTTATAACTAATAAACAATTTGCATGAACACACTTTGGTACTGTGTATATTCA